GTTTTAAAATCCATCACAATCTTAGATGAAGACCCATCGTTACACTATTTAAACCCACAATAAGTTTGAATCGGACCCGGTAACAGGTGGAGTGGGTCGGCTCGACCCACCCATTTTGACTTCCCAGTAGGAATATTTTTACGAAGATTTTCTTTTCCTATTGTTCCCATTAGTTTACTCAACCAAGTCAATGTTTATGAATCGACAGTTCATTACTTAAAAGCAAGGTTCTAAAATTCATTTACTTACTTTAAATTACATGTTATCTCAATAAAATAATTTTACACGTAATCTCAAAATTTTTACCTATTTTTTAGCCACAAATCCTCTAAAAAAATCACTATCACAAAATCTATTTTCTCTAAAACTGACTCAAATTGGGGCTAAAAGACATAAGGTCTAGATGCCAGTCTCAAACTTTACGAACCTAGACATAATAGGACTTGTCCTATTTTAAATATTATTTTAATTATTGACATACCTTGAAAAAAAATGACCGTTGAACGAATCGGATGTTCGCTTGAACATAATTTTTCCGAATTTTTCTTTCTTAATCCTTTTGAAAAATGTAGGCTTTCGAATGATTTTTTTACTTTATTTTTCAAGGTAAGTAATCTTGTAATGAGTTTGAATATCAAGTTGAAATATTTATCATTTCAAAAAATAATTTTTATACAAGTGTTTTTATAAAATAATATTTTCGTTCATAAAATGATTTTTTAGTTTTTATCATTCAATACTACATATCAAAGTATTAGTACCTTTATATTTGGTTAAGAAGTCTAGTATTTGATTTGTTTCGAAATTTGTCTCTTAGACTTTTCGTTTTAATTTTTCTTTGATATCGTCTTTCATACTCTTGATCTCTTTCTTCGCATTTGTCTTTTAGGCTCTCGTATCGAATGATTTGACTTGAATTTTTAACTTTCACGTTGATCTTTATTTTGAGTCCGATTTATGATGTGTTGATTTTGACAATACTCGATTAATTTTAACATTAAACTATCATCACTCACAATCAATTATTAGAAACAATATTCATCTTATTTGTTATGATCAAAACATGAAGTATGAAATCAACTATAGGTCAGCAAAAAATTGAAACTTAACAACAAAATAACAAAGTAAAACTTACTTGGAAAGAACGAAAATTGCAACAACATTATGAAAGAAATGAAGAATGCAAATCCTGAGATGAGTGTTAAACGCTTTGTCATTAAGACGAATTTACCCCCACAATGGTATTAACGGAATGTTGTCCGTAATGTCCCGAAATCTATTTTATTTTTTATTTTTATTTTAATAAAAAAATAGAATTGAAGTGTTAAAAAAAATCTTCTTAATTTAAGTATAGATTCACTTTTATTCAAATTTTGAGATTTGATCATTAAATCAATATTAATAATCAACCAACAATTGAAGTGACAATTTTCATATTAAATAAAATCTTTAAGTACTAAGATTTCAAATCATCAATTTAAATTTAAACTAGAATTTCAAATACTCGATCACCCTAAAAAAACTACTAAAATAACGTGCACAAAATTTAACATGAAGATGTTCTTAAAATAAAATCTGAAATAATCATTTCTAAAAAATTTAGTTGGCGACCCCATAAGTATCACTCGGTCAATCTCCCACATGTTTAGACGACCCATTCTAATTTAAAAAAGTTATTGTAAGAATGATTATTTTAAAAAATATTGAGTAAAAATACGTGCCCATATTTACCATGATACGAGTATAAAATGACATAACATACCAACATTCTTAAATTTAGAGCACACTAGTCGAAATATCCAATAGCTCATTTCTTAAAAATTCCTATATCCCGTAGGATTTACATATTTGACCTAATGGTCTTTCTCTAAAGATTTAAGATAGAAATCGACCTTAATACCTTATAGTATTTCATGTCAAAATTTATATAATTTTCATAAATGTCACTAAATTTGAAAAGTACAATAAATTTTGTCATTTTTACTAATAGTGCTAAACAATGTCACTTTTTGTGTGAAAGGTCTAATTTATCCTTAGTGACACTTTTTTAGGAACATTTAATGCTTATCAATGCTTGACTTGAATGTCATTAATGTTATGATGTGATGATTGAATTTTTGTACTATAATCATTTGATATATATATTAGGTAATATGAGTTTGTTAATAAAAAAGAAAAAAAGAAAAAATAGTTTGAAAAATGAGCATAAATCATTTTCTTCTAACATTAACAAACCCTAACTTTCTAACCATTTTCTACATTCCTTCATCAAGAAGACATTACTATTGAATTCAACATCCATTTTGAAAGGTTAGCATATTCCATTTTTTTTGTATGTTATAACTTACTACTACTTTGAAATATTAATATGATCAAATTTATTAGAAATTTTCGAAATTATTATTAATTGATTTGTTTGGTTTTTCAAATCTTTTTTAATAAAGATATTATTATCATCTAAAAAATGTTGTGGATGATTCTATATTTAATGAAGTATTGAGCTATTTATTGGGATGGTG